TGTGTGTGTGTGTGTGTGTGTGTGTGTGTGTGTGTGTTTGTGTGTGTGTGTGTGTGTGTGTGTGTGTTTTTATTGCAAAATATTTGCTATATACAATAAACGTTTTTTTTGGAACTACATGCGCTGGACACTGTGTTCTCCATTTTTTGATTTAGTGTCTAATGAATGATCAGTAGTGTATATTACTGACTAATGTGTGTGATTTGAAAACTTTGTTTGATTATGAGTACAGGTGAAATGGTTTTGAAGCGATTGTTTGATTTTGCCAGAAGAGTCAGAGGTTTCGTGAACTTAGTTTGAAGGTTTGGATTTGTGTTTAAGGTTTTGAGAAAATGAGTGATGGTTTCAAGAAATGTGTTTTAGCCATTCAGAAAAACTGTAATAGGAGAAGACTGAAAAACAGTAGTCATAGTAGTTATAATTTACATGGGAGTGGGTCGCCCCCTCACGGTGGCCGACATGTTGAGATCACATGACCAGTCAAATAGGCTATTACTCACTTTATTTCAGTATCATACTAAATTAATAAATAAATACAGGATATGCTTAAAAACATGTATCTTTCATGAAAAAAAGTTGTTTAATTTCTCATTTTAATCACATTTGAGTGATAAGTTACCGTCATTTTATGGTTGAATGTAAATGTAGATCATAGTATATACCTTTTATTGGTGTGTGTGCGTGCGTGCGTAACGCATTACTTTCCATCAAAAGTAACTAAGTAACGTAATTAGTTACTTTTTTATGGAGTAACGCAATATTGTAATGCATTACTTTTAAAAGTAACTTTCCCCAACACTGTGCGCGAGTGTGTGTGTGTGTGTGTGCGTGCGTGTGTGTGTGAGTGTGTCTTACTTTTTTCCTTTCTCTTAGTATCGTTCTGGGAACTCTTTCAACAGATTATTGTTAAAAAGGCTGACACAGTAGTGATGGAAAGGTTACACACATTAAGGCTGTCTTTTATCAAGTCAAAATTAGAGAGTCAACATTTTAACTTTATTCAAAAATAGTTTTCAAAAGGATTTCATGAATTTCTTTAAAAAAAAAAAAAAAGAGACAGTGGTAAAACAGTGCGATCAAATCTCTGAATAGCTCTTAACATTAATATATCATTGGCATATTAGCCTGCTTACTCCAAACAAAAATAAATACAATTCAGATACATCTAGACCCTAAAATCCATATATTTTTCCCAAATAAAAACAAACAAAAAAATGACCACCAATGAAGTACAGCATATGTTTGTTGAATAAGGTGAAAAATTCTCCATTGCTCCCAACTGTGCCACCAAAAATGTTTACAACACAAATACCTTCATTAACTACATGTGATCATAAATTTGGCATCAGCACTTCCAAATGAAGATTTAAATGTGCTTTAAGTCCAGGGTTACAAGTGCACCTGAGCGGTGTCCTCAGAACAGTGTTGCACCGAAACATGTACCCAAATACTCCGTCATCCAGCCTTCCTCTCGTCTCTGAGAATAAACCACAGTCTCATTAGCACACAGGATACTGATTCAATATCAACACCGACACAACAGAGACTGTAATCAGCTTGAATACTCTAAATATGATTCACTTAAGCACAAAATGCACTTACATGGTACCAAAAGCAGACTAAGGCAAATGATCATGGCCAGTGTAACACTACTGGTGATTCCTTGGGCTCCGCTGTCATTGAGTTCAACATGATATTCATGTTTATGGTGGTCCACATCTTTGCACTTTGTGCTGTGGTGAAGTGACAGGAATCTCATATCATTTCAGCAACAAAATGTGATATTTAAATTCATCAGCAACCATAAATGTAATGCAATGTACGATTTTGCAGGATATTTTCACATTGCATGCTTTATAAACTAATTTAGGCATTAGACGAATGCTTTAATAAAACACGAACTCTTTCAAGAGTGATGAAATAGAGTTACTTGGAAGTGGTGGAAGAGATGCTGAATGACTTACAGTTGCTTCTGTAAATATTGCTTGGTGGTCTCGCAGGCCTGTTTCTGTTTCTCTGCGGCAGTTTGGAGCTGTTTAGAAGCAAGGTGTAGAGCCTCACAAGATGCCAACTCCTGAGCCTTCAGAGTCAAATTGTGCTCCAGGGCTTCAATCTGGTCTGAAACGATAATGAAAAACTCTCCTCAGACAATACAACTCATAACTTTTGTCAAATCTTTTTCTATGTAATGCCAATAGTACAGGTGCATCTCAATAAATTAGAATGTCATGGAAAAGTTCATTTATTTCAGTAATTCAACTCAAATTGTGAAACTTGTGTATTAAATAAATTCAATGCACACAGACTGAAGTAGTTTAAGTCTTTGGTTCTTTTAATTGTGATGATTTTGGCTCACATTTAACAAAAACCCACCAATTCACTATCTCAACAAATTAGAATATGGTGACATGCCAATCAGCTAATCAACTCAAAACACCTGCAAAGGTTTCCTGAGCCTTCAAAATGGTCTCTCAGTTTGGTTCACTAGGCTACACAATCATGGGGAAGACTGCTGATCTGACAGTCTGTGTGCACTGAATTTATTTAATACACGAGTTTCACAATTTGAGTTGAATTACTGAAATAAATGAACTTTTCCATGACATTCTAATTTATTGAGATGCACCTGTATGTAGCCCCTCACAATGTTAGCGCTCCTCTTCAAACACTCTTAACAATATGCCAAACATTGTTTGAGGAAAAAGTCCATTGGCTTATAAGGCAATGTCTAGGCACGGCATAACTTATCAGTTTGTTTCTTAAAGGACCTCAGTGATGTCAGAGCACTATTTTGAGTCGTAGCTGGTAGCTGACTGGTGTTGTTCGCTTGCTGCTTTGTCTCAAATTCAACACTGGTGTTAAAATATGGTCTTGGTGCGAAACGTTTTTTGAAAGTTTTGTGAAAAGGTTTTTTCAAAGCTTCCTAGCAGTTTTCAGATAACCGCATTAAAAGGGCAGAGCGAGGCAATTTTAATCAGTGTTTGCTACAGTCTCTCTCGCTCTTGTATTCCCCGTTATTTTCATATCTCATCTCAAGTCTCAAGTCTCAAGTCTGCTTTATTGTCAATTCTTCCACATGTACAGCACATACACACAGAGAATTGAAATTGCGTTACTCTCAGACCCTTGGTGCATACAGATAACACTAACAGTAGAACATAACTACAGATAGATACAGATTTAAATATAAAATACAACTATACAATTATACAAATAAGGTAAAATGTAAAAAAATATATAAAGCAGCATAAGGCGCATGG